GAGAGGGGCAGGATCACCTCCCTCCACCTGCTGGCAACACTCTGCCTAATGCACCCCAGGAGACCATTGGCCTTCTTGGCCACAAGGGCACACCGCTGGCTCATGCTTAATTTCCAGTTCCCCAGGACTCCCAGGTCCTTCTCGGCAGAGCTGCTTTCCAGCAGGTCAACCCCCAGCCTGTACTGGTGCATGGGGTTATTCCTCCCTAGGGGCAGGACCTTGCACTTGCCTTTGTTGAACTTCAGGAGGTTCCTCTCCGCCCACCTCTCCAGCCTGTCCAGGTCCCTCTGGATGGCAGCACAGTCTTCTGGTGTGTCAGCCACTCCCCCCAGTTTAGTATCATCAGCAAACTTGCTGAGGGTGCATTCTGTCCCTTCCTCCAGGTCATCGACGAATACATTGAACAAAACTGGACCCAGTCCTGACTCCTGGGGGACACAGCTAGCTACCGGCCTCCAACCAGACTGTGCCACTGACCGCAGGGTTGGTGGAAGGGCTGGTAGACTAGAAAGCAGATGACTAATACTTTTAGAATTAAATATGCAGTTAAATAAATATTTGTCATTATTTTTTGAAGTTTTATTACATTTGACTTCAGTGTTGTTACATAACGCCAAGGCTTTCCAGCACTTTGCAAAGAAATAGAAATACTACTCTATGTATATGTATATATATATTAATTACAGTCCCATTCTTTAATCTTGTGCTTTATGACGGATCTGAAAAACAAAGCTATATACAGCTGAAAGTTATTAAAAACCAAAAATTTAGCACTGCCATACTCAGTGACTCAGTTAAGGGCTTTTTTTTTTAAGCAAAAGGAACAGTCATTCATAATACCAGGCACAAAAATTATTCTTCTCATATTTCTTCAGAAAGATGCTATGATGATGCTCTATAGTTAAGACTGCATTGCAAAAATAATTCATACTAAACTTTGCATGTAGGAAGTTTCATTTCGGGATTCAAGAACACTTTGTAAATATTAACAAACTACTTCCTGTGCTAAACAGTCTTGGCAAAGTTACTAATTTAAACAGATTTTAGAGTTGACAAGCAATGTAAATCAATGTTTTCTCACACAAATACACAATAGCATTCTATCAGTTCCTCATGACAGTCAGATACAGGTAAGAAAAGGTCAGAGGATCCAGGTATAAGCATCTTGCGGATAATACTAATGCTGTTTCATATGAAGTAAGGAAAACTTATCTATTCTGTTGTTTTGAGTAAGGTAAGTTGATGGAACTATCATGTAATTTTCTAGTAGAAAAGCATGACAAATCAATTTGATGGTATTCTTAGAAACCATCAAGAAACATGCAGTGGCAAGGAGGGAAGGATTCTGAGGCATAAAAACGTTGCTTGAGAACTCTAAGAACATGCTCATATATTCAAGTAACACCTAGCAACCAGAATTTCACAAATGTTACTTTCCACCGGTATGGAAGTCCTACATGGTACAAGCCAGGGGTGTCAGTCAAGTGAACTATAATCATTAAGTTGTCCACAGGAGACCAGGGGTCACGATGCCAGAATACTACGGTCTGTATGCAAGCAAATAACTCTGAGGTTGTTGAGAACGCCAAGGAATTAGATTACATAGGACCTTTGTGTACTGCTGAGTTCTCATGGATTGCTATACAGTTTATTCTATGGTAAAGTACCAAATGTTTCAGTCATACAGACAGAAGTTTCTGCTGGACTTGAGAAAGGACAAGATGAATTTAAGGTATCTCTCCATTGCACCAAACATCCATTTAAGAAGTAGTTATCCTGTGCGCTACACAGTTAATTATCTCCTATAGCAGTGACATGGATTCAGCTGGATACAGATGCAAGCAAACAAACCATGGGACAAAAATAAAACTTGTTGCCAACCTTTTGCCACACACAGTTACGAGACATCTACCAAATAGATTGCTACCATGTTACCTTTAATTTATACCTTATTTTCATCATGCTGGGAAAAATTAAACATCTACCAATTTTGCAGGAGAATAAACAGCCCTTAAACCTTTCTTTGAGAAGGATCAGCCTAACATTAGTGACATCACCCAGCATCCCAAATCTGTAAATGAGATAATGATCATAGTGCAAATTTGGTTATTTGCTATACTGAAGATACGTCAAGTGCTGACTTTTTCAGATCAGACCTAAGATAACTTCTAAGGGTAACAAAACATTTCCAAAGTTACTTTAACCACAGCAGAACAGACTATAAGGAATCTTGGAAGGTCATCAAGCTCCAAGGCAGAATCAGCAGTTATCTAAATTCTTCCCATGCACACGTACATTTTACAACACAGTATGTAATCTAATATTGAAAACTATTCTCCTTTAGCTGGAATAGAATACAGGAGCTGTATGTCTTACATGATCTAAAGTATAGCATGGACAAGCTGGAATATATTTTGAAATTTCAGAATACATTCATCTGTGAATGGAGAACAAATAAGTAAGTTCTAACAGGAAGTATACTACTTTTCCAAAAAGATTCAAGAGCTAGAAAGTAAGCATAACTGCTAAAAGCCTCACTGCATATCAAAATCCTTACCCGTTACTAGGTTGTTTTTTTTTTTTAAATATCAAATAGCTGAGATCTAAGAAACAGAAATACAAGGAAAAAAACAGGGTAAAAGATTTTTTTTTTTTACTACAAAACTGAAGTAGATCAGAAATACACTTATCACATGATAGACACTATCAACTTTTTTGAACATTAAAGTTTACTTCACTTTTAGATAATCTCAACTTCTTCGTTACATTGCACAAAGGTTTTTGCGATAGCTATCTGACTTAAAACTTGCAGTTCTGAGTAGGTAGCTTTTAAGAGAAACCAGCTCCATGAAATCTGGCAAACCCCTCATTTAGCCAAATGTCATTCCACCATCCCATGTTAAAAAAGTTGCCAAAACACTAAAAAGCAAAATCTTAAATAATAAAGGTATTAACCAAAATTTAGCAATCACTATATTTACATAGAAAACATTACTCCTAACATAAAGCACATCTGAGTTTTTGCAAATATTATACATGGTTCAAAGAACAATGAAAAATGAATTCCCTGCCATGTGCTGCCGAAACACTTTCCTGTTGTCCAGACCACATATTTACTTTGCCTTTTCTGTTCGTTTTTTTGGGTTTGTTTTTTTTTGCTTTAGAAACATGTTGCAGGTAAGAAGGAGGTCTGTTAAATGATTCTATCTCCACTCCTGTTTTATGCCACTTACAACCCCTGGATAAAGACAGTGGACTGGGACCTAGCAAATCTAAAGGCTCGTTTTCACTTCTGCTAGAAGCTATTTGTAAACCTATCTGTGAACCTATTTGTGCTTCTGCTGCTGGAAGCAGATGTTAGCAATATACCTTTTCTTGCTTGCGGCACAATCTTGTACTCCAGAAACGTATCCATGTTTTGTCGTGCACTACGACACTACAGAAGGGCTTATACTGCGTTACACAGGACCTTAAAGTATATCAGATATTAAGGCATATAAATAACGTCAGGACTAACACACTAACAAGGAAAACCTTTTTCACTGTTAGTATAGGCAAGCACTGGAACCCATAGAGGTTGAACAATCTCCAGCACTGGAGGGTTTCAACACTGGCCGAGATAAAGCCTTAAGTAACCCGGTCTGGTATCAGAGCTGACTCTGCTTTTAGCAGGGGGTTTGGCTACAGACCTTCTGTGGTCCCTTCCTATCTCAATTATTCTACAATTTTGTGATTCTACTAGTTTAGTGGTACTACTGCATGCGGTATAACGTCCTACAAGGAGCTACTTAGCACAAGAAACTCAAAGAAGTTTTATTTTCCTCCCTCATTTTCTCCCCACAAATCTTCACCTTCAGACCTATGAATTCCAATTAGTCTTCTACATTCAACTGTAATTTGTCAATATACCATCAACTTAACATTACAACTCCTTATATAAAATACACCATGAGTAGCAGCTTTGTAAAGTGCTATGCGCAAGGGGTTTTACCATAGAATGACTCATTTTGTATGACTTTGAGTGAGGGACTTAGAAACAGAGAACAAAAAAAAAAATCTTTTCAGATGTTCTGAGACTTCCAAGAAGGAAATTAAAACCTAAAACATTAAAGGAAAGGTATTTTCTGTGGAAGATAGATAATTTGCCAAGGGTGGATGATTTATTTCTCATCAAGCTAGTATCACACATCATCAGCTTTAATATTTATGATCCCATTTGCAGGCTAGCTCCATACTTGATGTGGGCATTAAACAGGGCCACTGAAAATAAGTTCTTCATCTGACATCATTTCAGGTAAAAACCTGAATAAAGACTGCCCCTGTTCTTTGTATTTATACTGCTGCATCTCTTCAAGCTACCTCTTTCTCCCTTTTCGGTTTTACTGCACTGCACAGTTTTGTCTCCACATCTGAAAATGACTTGGGAAAACTCCATTCTAAACCTTATCTACTGTCATTTCAGTTCCTATCCTTCCGGAAATTATGTTCTAAGATCAGTCCTTCATTTACCTTACTTCAATATATTTTTTCTGCTTAAAAACTGAATCTGAACTCACAGGTCTCATCAACTGATAAAAAGATGAAATACCACATGACCTGAAAAAAAGCTATCAAAACTGTGCTGGAATTAAGGAGTTTTTTTTAAATACAAGCTTTGTTCCTAATTTAAGATGTTTAAGTCAAACAATTGTATAATTCTTCCAGAGAATCCTTGACCCTTCCAGATTTCACAGAAAAAAAAAAAAAGAAAGAATGGAGGCTTAGAAATACAGTACAGGACGAGAAATTAACAAACTATCATGACTTAACAACACTAATCTAGTATTATTTAAAAGCATGCTTTCCAGAATCACGGGCTTATGTGAAATCTTAGTCTTACATTAGCAAAGGTTCTAGTTTTTAAAGACACAGATAAAATGTTTGAAAACAAACTCTGTATCTGGAAACTCTGTTGAAACAAACTAGTGTATCTGGAAGGTACGAAAGATTCAAAGACAAGAGGTTACTAGAGAATGATTCGTTAATGTTAAATATTTATAGCACAGAAATACTAAATTAAAATTCAGAGTCTAATAACATGTGCTAGGGTCAGAGGAAATGTGAGGAAACGAGGAATCCAGTCTAACAGTTTGAATTAGGTACAAATCAAAACACTAGCAATAGTTCAAATCCCCTTGGTTTTCTGTAAGATACTCAAACATTTAAAGTTTTTTAAGCAAGCACTTTGATGCCAAAATTACTCTTCATCTTATACATGATGCAGCATTCCCTTTTATGTCAAAGGTCTTTTCTACATTAACACCCTGGAAGGTGTTAATTTAGAAAAAAAGAGACAGATCTGAAGACTAGAAATCCCTGCTGAATGTTACAGCAAGTCTTTTGCTACAGGGACCAAACCTGACCGTTTGTTACGGTTTTCAAGTAATGCCGACGCCAGAACAAAATCAGCAAAAGTCTGTAACAGTGAAAGTCTATTATTTCTACTGGCATTTGCAAACATATATTTTAACCAATGAGAGTAACCGCATTCCCATAATTCCACCAGCTCCTTCTATTCTTGGAAAGGCTTTAGACTTGACCAGGAAACTTTGAACTTTCCCATCATATGATCTGGACAACCCTCAGTTTCATGTCTAGATAATTGCTACTATGGATTTTGAACCTACCTCAGCACAAATGGTATTTCCATGTTTTGATGAACATTTTTTCCAAGGCCAGCTTTTCCATTAAGACAGAGAAGGAAGACACCGCCCAACAGAAGTGCTGTCAAACATGCCCAAGGTTTAAACGAATTTTAAAAAAAGGTTACGTGGATCAGGATCTGAATGTTTGTTTCCTGATTCTATTCTTCTTTTATGATGTTCTACAGCTACATAGTGAACGAGGAACCTGGTATTTTCTGTAGAAACTTTGGAGTTATTACATATGGAATCAATCTACCAGCTCGCAAGAATTCTGAAAATGTGCAGATAACAGAACATTGCATTTCTTCAGATCAAAGTAATTCATCTTGAAGGTAGACTTCTGGAAGCTCATTTTGACATGTCTGTGGGGAAAAAAAGCACATCAAGAACCAAGTTGAGCTCAAGTTTCAGTCTACTGAAGCTACACAAAACTAACGTAAGTGGTTAATATTTTTTAGGAAAGCAGCCCGCAAGCAGTGAAGAGAAATTCTAGAAGTATGAATTGCTGTCTGAAAAAGAAAACAGATGACCCAGGTCATCCATAGATAACCAAATAGCAGCATGTACTTGCTTAGCCAAGCAAGTTTATTTCAACTTTGTTTCCTCAATGCAATCTCTGCTACATCTTTCACATTTCAACTTCGCCTCTTGAATAGAATGTCTACTACAGCTTTCTCTAGTGACTAACTGCAGTATGTACTGCAAAGAATGAATGTGAACTGATTTACAGTACGAAGAATTTGGGGTATGACTGCTATAATCAGAGGTTTCACAGGTAGATAACTGTGTCACTTGTCAAATTGAGTCAAGTACACTAGGCATTAGATGCAGCAGTAAAACTACTGGAATTTTATGAGAAACATTCTGGTATCAGCTTTTCCCTCCAAAAACTAAGCAAGCTAAATATCAATGTCAGTGTGGTCCAAGCAGGTAACACTTTCAGTCACATTATCACGTTTGATGTTTGTCCTGCATAGAACAAAGCAAACCATGGAAAGTTTTCTTCCAATTACAGAAAGACAACATATCACAGAAGACATATTTTCAAGGACATGCTTATACACATTTGTGTAATTTCCTGATTTGCCTGAAAGCAAAAGATTTTATCTTGTAAGGACATACTTTGCTTCTTTTATCTGTACCACAGATAAACCCCAAAGCCTTTTAATTAACTCTGCGGTCTAAATACCTGAGAAGAGACAGCACAAAGATAATTGCCTGCGGAATACTGAAAAAGGAAAATTGCTTTCCTGAAATAATAGAACAAGTGACAATTCGGAAAACAAGATATTCCATTTACTGACTCTCATAATCTCATGTACTGACTGTCCCAAAAGAGTAATGAATCTAATTTAGTTAACTGAAGGAATGTTGAAGTTAACGATCTATAGATGACAGGTCTCTGCTTAAGCTTACAAAGGCTTTCCAGTAACTTAAGCTTGGCTATTGCACTGATTTGAAAAATTCACCTTTTAAGTTTCCTAGTTACTTGAAATTCTTTAGAAGATACTGAAATTCATTAAATTCATAATGAAATGCTTGATCCTGCAAATGCTTACTCGTGCAACTTACAGTCTGCAGAACTATTGGTTTTATTAGCTTTATGGCTCTAGCCTGCAGTCTCTGAGTATTTATGCAACACTTTCACTAAACTGACAGAACCATCCCACAGGATCTGCTCCTACACTCAACACCCAGGCTAAGCTGTCAATGACAGCAGGAACGTTGATGGGAATTTTACTTCCATTAAAAAAAAAAAAAAAAGCCATCATTCCATAAGGATGTAGACATCTGCTGAATTTTAGAGTCACGAACAGTACATGCGGCTGTTGTTGCTTTCGCATCCAAGTCTAAGTATTGAAAGTAACCAAAAAGGCTACTCATCTTTTTACATTTTGTCTGTATGTTCAATCAAAGTCTACATTTACATTGCAAGATTGTAACATGTACTGATGCGGTCCGATTTATTTACCAGGCCACCTACCAGTTACATGGGGAAAAGCAGCCTTTACTGTCTAAACTGTCAAATCGTTAGTAATCCTAAGTAATTCCAACTTTTTAAGAGAGCTACAAAACTGGATGTGCTGTAACTGCTATTACTGACTAGAGCTGCACAGATAGTAGGAAATCTCTCCTGAACCTTTTGGGGACTACTAAGGATATTTCGGATCAAATGTTTATTGCTAAGATTTGCGTTAACCCAGCAACAGTCACAATAACTTTAGTGGAAAATTCATCTGCGGCTTGTTGCATAGACAGGTTAAATCACTAACACTGCTTGTTTCATAGCTAGAAGTCATTCATTTCAGGTCAAAGCAGACTCCCAGAGAGACCCAGCAACTAGTCACCAGATCAATCTGTGCACAATGAGTACTGGACTAACTAACAACCGTATTAAAAAAACACAGGCATTTCACAAACAAGCAGAAAAGCTAAATTCACAAACAAATTATTCCTTGTTAATTACTTACCGAGGCCTACTGCTACTTTAATACCTCATCAGTGTCCTATGGGGTTATTAAATTGCAATTATTTACCTTGCTAAGCATTGGCAGTGTTTAAGTGAGCTAGACACTAAATAAAAATAAAGCCAGTCAAAGAGACACTTGTTCTTCTATTCAGAACCTTAGCAGTTTAGCTGTATTAACTGAGCCTTATATGCCTGTTGTTAACAACAGCAGCTTTTTTTGCAGTTCTGGGATTGGACCCTTTAAGAAAATAAAACAGTCCGTCATTTTGTGCCGAGAGGCCTCTGCAAAATGACTGAACCAGTCGATAGGCATTTTGCCCTGGTAAGGTAATTCAGCAGGCTCCATACACCGAGCAGGTTCGGGAAGTAGCATAGGCACCTGTACTCCTTACAAATGAGTTCATAACTGTAGAGGTTAACAGATATGTAAACAATTTTAATGAACTGATAAACAGTAACGATAACAACTATAATAATACTGATAAGAACGTACAATCACCACAAGGTATTAACTTACTTACAAGAGCATACCTGAAGCTTCAGTGTAAGAATAAACAGAAATGATTATGTCTCTATACATACACACACAGGCTTGAGTACAGAAGACAATCAACGAATACACGCGGAAGTGAGGGGGGAGGAAGAGTTAAGCAGGCTGCTCCCGGAGCAGGGAGCCCCGCTTCCAGGTGCGGGGACCTGTACCCTAAGCAGGCCCCCCTCAACAGAGGGCGCCACCGCCCAGCGTGCCGTGAAGCTCTCAAACCTATAACCAGGCCACATCCCAAATTGGGGGGAGGAGCGTGCCGCCTCGTGGCCAGAGGCCTGATTAAGCAGGCCACAGCAGAGAGCGGGCGCCGCCTCGCCCTTACAGGGATAACTCACGCCTCCGCGGTAAGTCGGGATCCTAACCTACCCGGCGATGGTGGCGGACGACCTCCGCTGGCTGTCCCGCAGCCTCCGGCAGAGCCGCCCTCAGCTGGGGAACGTGCCTTTGGCGTCGTCAGGCCTTGGAAAAGACCGCCAGGCTTTGGCTCTCCCGACGCCGGGCTTCGCGATTTTCGCTGGTCTTTTTCTACCCTGCGTCGCCGACGACGAAAAGCCCCGCGAGAGCTCGCGCGCATGGCGCTTGAGAGCTGGACCGCGTTGTGCCCGCAGGCAGCAAGACCCTGCCATTGGTCACACCTCGTCCCGATCCGCGTTCCTATTGGTGCCTTCCGGATCCGTCACCAGCGCCCCCGCCTGCCGACCCGCGCCTAGGCCCGCTCCCCTTCCGGAATGTTCCCCGTGACTGACAATCGCTCCCCACCAATGACTTGCCAACATGGGGGTGGGACACCAGGGCCAGCATGATTGACAGGACATACAAACCACAAATAAAACCTTTCTAGCAGATCCAAAACATAACTTTCAATCTGTTAAGGGTTCTACTATGACACATTTTACTGCAGCTTTTAATTAACAAAGGAATATCTTAAGCTAGCCTGCACTTCTGTTGCAGAGCCACACCAGAGAAAGCTGGACTCGACCTCAAGGAGCCTCTTGTCCTTTAAATCAAAAGTAACATTATCACAGCTGGTGATGCTCCATTAGGTAAAACCAGACGGAGGGAAGAATTAGCTTTCTACAGGAACAAAATCACAGTATTCAACTCTTAACAGTTCTTAACGCCGCAAAATGTCTCATTTGGCATCAAGCCCCTCACCAGATCAAGAGCACTCCTTGCTCCGTACCTGTTTGAATAATTACAATGGTAGTTGTTACAGGATTCCACAAAATCCTGTGACCTGCAGAGCAGAAGGAAAAACTTGCTAAGTAATCACAGAATCACAGAATGGTTGAGGTTGGAAGGGACCTCTGGAGATCATCCAGTCCAACCTCCCTGCTCAAGCAGGGTCACCTAGAGCACGCTGCCCAGGATCACGTCCAGACGGGTTTTGAATATCTCCAGCGAAGGAGACCCCACAGCCTCTCTGGGCAACCTGGTCCAGTGCTCTGTCACCCTCCCAGTGAAGAAGTTTTTCCTCAGGTTCAGACAGAACCTCCTGTGGTTCAGTTTCTGCCCATTGCCTCTTGTCCTGTTGCTGGGCACCACGGAGAAGAGGCTGGCCTCGTCCTCTTGACACTCCCCCTTCAGATACTTATACACGCTGATGAGATCGCCTCTCAATCTTCTCTTCTCCAGGCTGAACAGGCCCAGCTCTTGCAGTCTTTCTTCATAGGAGAGGTGCTCCAGTCCCCTGATCATCTTTGTAGCCCTTGTAATCCTTGTGTAAAGGATAAAATAACAGCTGCAGTTTGAACTTTTCTTTAAAAATTTTCCACAGGAGAAATGCCATGAGAACCTAGACAATTTATAAAGACCTCATGCCTTGATTTCCCACCAACTGTATTGTAAACACTTTTGTATAACGTGTCAAACCCATCTTCCAATCTTGCATGAAACTCAGTAATAAATTGGTATTACTTGCCAGTTGTTCATTCTTCAGGAGCCTTCATGGCAACTTGCTCATGTACACAGTATTCTAAAACTTGAAGGGTTTTCTTCTGATTTACTAGCATTAAAATCGTCTCTGGACAGAAGAACTGCACTGGTGATTCCAAGACCATTGCTGTGCAAGATAATAAAGTCAGCCTTCTCTCTCACAACAATCTCCCTTCTCTACGATCTGGTAAAATGTAAAGTAGAAAGATTAGGATAAAGAGACAGATCATAACGAAGTGAAAGTAATTAAAACAAGAAGAACAACAAAAGCTATTGCAAATGCACACGAAGAGTTCTTTCCTTTGGAGGAAGATGTGGTTTTATCTGACTAAGATGGCTCATGCCTTGAAAACATTTGCTTTGAATACATCATGTGGTGACAGTAATTCCAGTAAATTAATTCTTCTCTG